AACACTGACATAAAAACTTGGCAAGTTGACTTGGGTGTCACACCAATAGGTGGTTCCACTTATGTTTCGCTTGCGTTAACGCAGCTATTTTTATCAAGTACTTTCTTGGTTTTTTATCATTCTCAAATCAAATTTCAAATTTTTAAATACTTGTGGAATTTAATGATTTTGCCTATCAAAAAAAAAGAGATGAAAAATTATACAGATACTTATCTCAACGTCTCAGAAAATCTAATTAATCTTGCAGTTTTTTTTGCTTGTTTTTATTTTCAAATGTCTTCGATAGATGTCAAAGCAGTTTTGAAATGAGAAATATGTCAATGTTGTTGACTGATTTCTGAAACATTCGATATAGTACAAGGTGTTTTCTGATAATAGTCAGTTGCAATTTCGACACTGTCCATATCTTTTTTCAAGATAGGTAGCCAAGTATGATCTATTTCTAAAGAGCTCCTCTCCAGATATAAGAATATACATTGACTTTTTTAGCTAATGTCTCTCAGAGTGGAGTTTATTGGCAATCATTTTCGTTCTGTTCCATTCAAATAGATTTCAGATTAGCAGTTTTGATCCTGTTGGTTGTCTTTCTGATGTAATCTTGATTTTCATTCACGCACCTTCAATGGTCTTGAATAAAGTTGTATAAAGTTCTCAGAGCTCTTCAACAATTGAAATGAGATACAATTTCTCAACATTTTTTTCTAAATTGTCACACAAGAAAATAAACTCTGTTCTGCCTCACTAATTATAAATTCAAAAACTCTAATTTCATTTTAAAGTTGAAATAATTAGTATCTCTTTTCTATTCGAACAATTTGAAATTATTCATATTGTTCACTCCTCGTTCCTTCCTAGTTTAGTTAATTTTTTTTCTTCTTTTGGGTTAAGCATTTAGTTATAATATATTATGATACTTTATTCTCAAAACTCATTACTCCGTCATTCAACAGAAATATTTGAGATTCTCTATCAAATTATTTGTTCCTCACTTTTTGCTCCCGCTATATAATAATTTTTGGCCAGCCGCCAGATGGTATGTCAGTTCTCACCGAGAAGCTCGTGCTGGCAATAGCAACTCCAAGTCGTATCGCAATCCCAAAAACCCGAGAAACGTGACCCGGAAAAGTGTCTTTTCGATAAGTCCATACCCAGAATACAGTCGATTTTGCATTACGTGTGAAAGAGCGGTGGAAACCACCGAAGCCAGAGATTCCAGGTGAGTTGACTCTCATATTATTTTCTTTTTCAATTTGTTCTTTGTAGATAGTCAGATATGATATGGGTAATCAGATAAGAAATGGGCATGGGGGAAAACATTCAAGGATAGTGTCAAATAAGTGTTCAGCTTCAGAAATATTTTGCTAATGATTTTTTATAAATACACTTCTTTTGAGTTCTCTCATTACCAGTTTGAACTGAGGGAGAATGCCCATGCCCACTTCTTACTATGTACTTGTCGAATGAATTTTTGCATTCATGACCTAGAAAACCATTGCGGTCGAAACGCCGTGAAGTAACTTAGTTTTAATTTTTCTTTGAGTAGGAAAACGAAGTTTTCTTTCCTTATACGAGGAATTGGGAAAATTTCGGATATGCGGTTGGTTACCTCGTTCACAGGCAGATGGGGCGATGACGAATCGGTTGTTTGTTGTCTGCTTCAGCCTAGTTCGAGGAATGATACTCTGAAGGAATTCGATTTTCAATCAACGGAAGTAATCGATTTTATGTTGATGGTAGACACTACCGTGCACTGACGAGTGGCCAAACAGCCCGAAATCGGTCTGTAAGTGTGTTCCAATAATTGAAAATCTACTGCGGCAGTTGTATCGCCAACAGCATATGCAGGAATAACTTCAGTGAAGAATCCTGCACTGACACCTGTCGGATATAATCCAACACCCTTCGTGGTATTAGCCAGCGGAGTAGTTGTTTTCTGATAGGTGTCAGTCCATTAACCTACAGTGTAGGAAGTTGAGACTGGCCTGAACGAATTGTTCTTTTAGATGATTTGAAACGAAGTTAGTAGGAGAGGAACTGTTCGCAAGAAGGTATTATATGAAATGTAAAGTTAAACATGATGTTAATGAAATGTTAAATGAACCTGAAATCCTTTGAAAGGAAAATGTTTAATATTAATATTAATTTTCAGCGTACTCAAGGACTATTGTTCTATATGTGCTCAAACATGTACTTCAAGACAAGTGAGCTTCGCCGGTGATACTGTAGTAACTTGGAAAACAGTCAAAGATGAATTCGCTTAATTATCAGATTATGTTGACAAATGGAAAGACATACTACCTATGTAGGGGAAAAATTGGATAACTTGTTAAGACACATCTAGCAAAGTTCGAATACTTCAGATACTTTTTGAATATTAAACATATGAAATTGTTTATAGTGTTTTTTCTGGTTTATAACCTTCCACAATTTGAAAAAATAAAAGCTGAATCAATAGAGACTTTGCTGGAGTGTAGTAAAGGGCAAACTGGAAAGTTCTCCCGAAAAGTTAATGCGTAATATAAACTACTGGAAAGTCCATTTAGTTAAAAACTTCTATTCATAAATTTTGCCAACACACTGAAAAAATTAAATATTGATATTTAGCTTTCTTCTGGGTGGGTGGGTGCGTGCGGGCGGGCATGAGTGAGGAAAGGAGTGTGAGTGAGTTAGTGTGTCCGAGTGTGTGTGTGGTATCTATTTCCCAGGAAATAAATAAAAATCTGTTTCCATTTCGTTTGATTAGCATGTGTTATTCATTTAATAAGGGGATTCTTCATAACCCCTCAGGAACACATCCTGAATACGTCATTTATATTACTATAATATGCCCATTGTTTGGCATATATTTATTTATTTTGATGAGCAAAGATTATCATTATTAGTATAACTTAAATACTATCAGGAGAGAGCAGCATAATTTTTTTTTGCAGGAGGTAGGTAGTAAATGATGAACTTGTTCATAAATTTTCTCACATATATATTTATATGAAAACACTTTGTACTGGTGAGACCAAAAACAATCAACATTGAGAATATTGTGATACAAAATCTTCAGACTATTTACATTTTGATAATTCATATCACAATTTCTTTGAAACCCCTAAAAATATTGTTCATTTCTCTATTTCAATCATAAAACTACATTTTTTGAAAGACCATAACTAATGCCTTTTTTCTTTATATTCAAACACTCAAATAGTGACTACTCTATAACTACCCTGTAAAGACAATAATTATAGGAAGCAATGTACCAGTGATCAGGTTCGTCTATAATTATTATAATGTTACCCCAAAAATATCACAATGATTCTTTCCTAACGCTAAAACGCGTTTAAATTTGACAATGAAATGGAACAACCAACCACAATGCTAATATTTATAAATACTCGAGAAATTTGTTAGGGCAATTCAAATTTCTCTGAATATCTATAACACAATCATAGAAAAAAATGCACCATTGAATAAATAAAATATTATCAATAAATAAAATGTTCTTGGAATTGACTCCTCTCTATAATGGTTTTGTTTAAAAAAATGAGTGTGACATGCTCTAGAATTTTTCAGTAGTTATTTTCTGGCTGAAATCGTTCTGATCAAAATTTGTACTCCATAATGTCTTTATTAGAAACAATACCTGTATTACTGTGTCGAAAATATTTTCCGGGTTTGATGTCCATGTTCGGCAGTTTTATGGCTGAAAATTCGTCTACTACTGCGGTAGACGTTATGAAAGACGCTGAGGTAGCCAGAAAATAGCTTCGACACAGTTATATCCGGCCCTGAATTTTTACACTCTTTTACCTCTATAAGTTTCTCTTTTCACTTAAACCTATATTTTAGCTAACGTATAATCATGATATTATCGAACAATGAGCAATGAAAATTGCTCATTGTCCATTGAAAATGCCATTTAATGAAAAAATTGACAAATGATTAATTTGTGGAGATGAAAACTACATTTGCTAAATTTTGCACGATTCATTCTACTTTGAACTATTTCTTACATGTTCAAAGTTTGATAAATCTAATAAAACATAAAATATTAAACAATGTTTGAATAAATTGATAATATTCAGTGAATTATTTGAGATTCTATAACTTATCACTACATAAATAAAAGCTTGAAACTATATGCCAAGTTTTTCCATATTCATACCCATATTGATCACTATTGACTCTTGTAATCCAAACTGAAACGTAGGAACTTTTGCTAGAGAGACCGTCTCAAATATTTCCTAATAAAATGAAAGTATCAAACATATTTCTGGTTTTCTGTTTTCAGAGGTATCATATTTTCTATATATACTTCTATTTCCTTATCTGCGAGACTTCTTCTTTTCTCCGGAATGTAGCTACTTAATTTCCTATCAATATTGTGAACTATTTCGTCTTCAATCCAAGGGTCTTCGAAAGAAAAATCACTATGCCTGAGTTGAAAAATTTTGTATATCGAAACAATGATGAAAATGGCGCCTCCAATGAAGAGGGCATACACTAAATATTCTTCCATCAGAGGGAGTACATTGAGGTACAAACGAAACCTCGTACTGAGGTTATCAGGTAGTTTATCCATTTTCTGCAAAATAGAATAATGTTTAGTATCAGAAAAAAATCCTGCACATGAATCAATACAAATATTCTCCAGCGGCCCTAGAAACATTTGAGTCTCACTTAGCAACTTCCACAATGGTAGTAAACTTCCAAAATACAATATTCGATCCTCAACAAATTGTTTCTGACTAGATTTCCGGTCTTCACTTGCAAGGAATTCTAGTGCTTTCATTAGACCACTAGACTTTAGGCTTTGTCAAACTAACACTAAATTCGTGGCAAAATCTACCAGTATTGGCACATTCCAAGGCCAATTATTAGATTACAGCAGGAATCAAATATGTTGACTAAAGGTTCTTAGTTGATTGAAAGGTCTATACAGTGTGTAAAAGCCAAATAGAATAAATTCATTATTTCGGTTACGGTACATATTTGAACAAAATCCCGAAACATGTCAAATTTCAATTATAATTTGACATACTTCAACGGAAAAATGCTACCCCTCACCTTCAACCTCCCTCGAATGACAGGTACAACCCCCAATTTTAAAAAATGGAAAGTATAGGCTTGTAATATATCGTTTGAAAGGTCTCTTAATTCTCTATTCAAAAATGTTATTGGTTTCAAGTTTATTGTAAAAATTAAAAGATTAGGATGTTGCCAAGACGTTCGCGGTGAACATTTTGAACATCAACTTCGTTAACATCCATAGTTCTTTTTCGAAACCCACATTTCATAACGTTTTGCATCACATTTTAGTTTTTTGAGTGTATTTTATTGAATTCCGGTAACCAAATGATTTTAATTGATTTCATCTTCATCTTGAAGAATGTCAAATTATAATTTACATTTGACGTGTTTCGGGATTTTTTTTAAATATGTACAGCAACCGAAATAATGAGTTTATTCCATTTGGCTTTCACACACTGTATGAAGATGCATAGAAAATTTGGTGTTTACACAAATCCGCTTTTAATTTGTCAAAAACTCGACGTGAGAAATGAGATTGACCCAACATTGTACACATGTTGATAGAATGATCAAGAATCGAAATCTGTCGCTGGTATTTTATTCAGATCTTTAATTTGTAGACCATAATGTGACTTTCAATTCATTCTGAAATATAGATAACATTGAAAGTTCAAGTACCGATTGGACATTGTCAGGCAGTATCAGTTTTAAGTGTACTCTGCAACTCTGTGAATGGGCGGCTTAAACTTCTAGGATCTCTTCATTATTTCTTTATCGAGAGTGCCGCAGGGAAGGAGTACAAGTGATCACACCAGGGATATTTTCTGCATCTTGGTTTACATACAGGCCACTGTCGTCTGTATCATCTAAGAGGAAAATTGGACTGCCGGAAGACAGTGAGTGCCATTTGGAAGACGATGTTACAGCAGAGGGTCAAAAGAGATAACCGCAACTCTTCTTGGTAACAAAAGCCTTGAAAATAAAAAAAAAGAAGTTCGACGACTATCAAATCGAGCTAAAGAGTCAGGTAACTGGGAGCTTTATAAAACCACTCTAACGTCATACAACAAGGAAATTAGAAATGCAAAACGGGAGTCTTGGAGGAAGTTCTGTGACAGTATCTCTGATTTACCTCGCAGCGCAAGAATTCACAAGATTCTCTATAGAGAACCGACTGCTGAAATTGGGTCGCTCAAACGACCCGATGGAACATTTACGACCTCTAGTAAAGAAACATTAGAGCTTTTGATAGAAAACCACTTTCCTGGAAATCTGACTCTCGATAACAACAGACCGCCCATCTTCGAGGGCGCTAAACGCCCAAAAAAGAACGACTGGGATGTCGCAAGGAAGGTTATCACAGCACCGGCCGTTGAATGGGCTATCAAATCTTTTCATCCCTTCAAATCTCCAGGAGAGGATGGTATATTTCCAGCTCTTCTGCAAAACGGACTGAAAATAATTTTACCTATTCTCATAAAATTGTATAGAGCTAGTCTGGCGTGGAACTATATACCACCCAGTTGGTTGGCAGCAAGGGTGGTATATATACCTGAGGTGGTCCGGAGAGACCCACAACCCAAATCGGTATGACGAATCAGCCTTACATCCTTCCTGCTGAATGGACTTCAGAAGATACTGGACGGACTTTCAGGAGGGTACCATTATATGCATCCCCACTGAATAACCACCAGTATGCTTATCAAACCGGCAAATCGACAGATTCAGCATTAAACAACCCCGTTGAGAAAATCTCCCAATCCCTTGACAACAAGGAGATTGCGGTTGCTGTTTTTCTTGATATTGAAGGAGATTTGACAATGCACCACCTAAATCTATAGGATTATCTCTGGCTAGAAAGGGTATAGAATCTACCATAACTGGTTGGATCTTTGCCATGCTAGTAAACAGAACTGCAACTACGACTCTTTAAGGCGAGGCTATCAAGTTCAGAGTCACCAGGGGCTGCCCTCAAGGTGGGGTACTATCTCCCCTTCTGTGGTCGCTCCTGGTGGATAGTCTGCTTGATGCCCTCGACTGAAGAAAAGTTGATCTGCAAGCTTATGCAGATGACCTTGTCATTCTGGCAAGGTCCACGTCGGGAAGGGTAGCTTGTAATATCCTCCAAGCGCGTTGGATGTTGTTCACAGTTGGTGCCTGAGGGAGCAGATGTCTGTCAACCCCAGCAAAACTGTGTTAATCCCCTTCACCAACAGAAGGAAATCGGACGATCTAACGCCACTTTCCCTCAATGGTGTGGTCATTCTATTTGGAACGGAGGTGAAATATCTTGGCATGGTTCTTGACAAAAGACACCTGGAACGCTCACTTGGAAAAAGTTTCACACAAAGCCAGACTGTCTCTATGGACACGTCGAAGGATTTGTGGTGAAACTTGAGGTTCAGGTCCCAAACAAATCCATTGGATTTATGTGATGATTGTTAGACCAATGATCAAGTATGGTGAAATTGCTTGGTGGCCGAAAGCTTTACAGAAAACGACCCAAGCGAAGCTCTCTGAATTACAGAGGCAGGTTTGTCTGGCTATCAATGGTGCCATCAGTACCTACCACACCGTCAGCGGCCATGGAGATCCTTCTAAATCTACCTCCTCTCCACATTTTTCTGAAAAGAGAGGCTAGATGGACTTGTGCACATTGCCAATTGCACGAATCAATTCAATGCAGAGTGCAACAGACTGTAGTTGACATTGGAAGTCACAGCATTCTGGAAATGACCTCTGACTTTATGCCTCCAACTGTCAACTACGAACTGCCTTATAAAGTACTATTTCCGAGTAGAGAGGACAGAAACCTCCGGGAGAAGGAAATATTAAGAGCAGATAGTTGTTGGTTCACAGATGGATCAAAAACACCTTCCAGTTCTGGTGCAGGTGTTTTCAGTCTCAGACCCAGGACAGAATTGCCAAAAAAGACTCTCCTTGATAGGAAGACTAAACAGATTGTCTCTGGTCTGGATTCCTGGCCATACTGGCCTGGAAGGCAATGAATCTGCTGACTCTCTCGCAAAGGAGGGTGCTGCAAGCGGCTTCATTGGACCAGAACCTGTCGTTGGCATCGCTTTGGACAAGCGATGCCAAACAAATACTTAACACCTTGATGGCAAGAAGAGTTATGGACTTCTGGCAGAATCTTCCAGGATTGGCTCACTTCGAGGCGTTTATTCACCCTTCGAAGCTTGATGCCAATTAATTGTTGGACTACAGTAGGGATGAACTACGATGTCTAACAGGCTTTCTTACAGGTCACTATCATTTGAATCATCACATGCAGAGACTTGGACTGTCGGAAGACACTGTGTGTCGCCTCTGTCTGGAAAATGATGAAACTGCAGAGCATATACTTTGTGCCTGCCCCGCTGGGGACCGAATCAGGTTCTTTGAGTTCGGCAGATCCGTACTCTCACCATCTGACCTGAAAGACCACTCAGCATACAATTTAATCGGCTTCGTTAAGAAGCTGGGTTTATTCGGCCGAGTGTGAATAGGTGTGAGTGTGTGTGGGTTGCGGTGGATGGTCAAATAGACCCACTCACTTTAGACATACCTACCTACAGCAGACCACATATTTAGTGCCTGACCCTATCGAATCAGGTTTTAAGTATTTCACTCTCGCTATCAGACCCACTATTAACATTCACCAAATGAATTATTCAGCTTTGTTAGGGACCTTCGCTATTTCAATAAACGTTTTTGAAACTTTTTCAGCAATTTAACTAGTATCAGAGGACATTTCGTTTTTTCATTCAAATTTCAGTGTTACTATCTCAGATTGAAACGGAAAATAATTTAGTAATACTTTTTCTATTTTGGATAAACTTACCAACATTCTTTAACGGTACCCAGGAAACAAATAATCAGACATGTTCCTTGGGGTTCAATTTATTTTTCAGCAATTTCTGAATTGTTTTCAGTAGAAATCATCCATTAAATTTATTGCAGAATGTGGCACAACATAACTTGAATAAACCATTCTGGTCATGAATACTATGAACACATAGTTTTATTTATTCGTTCATAGATTTGTGAAGTTGATAGTTGTCAAGTGTTAGTTGAAAGTTCAGAGAAAATTTGAAATGATTCCAGCTTCGATGATTATTATTATTAAAATATTATTTCTCAATGAGGTTTTGGCTCCACCAATGTAATGTTCAGCAGACAGTTGTGAATTAAAATGCCGATATTTTTTGCAATCTGTAGCCGAGAAAATAGAGCACTCACAATGAAACACAAGTTGAAAAAATGCATGGATGGATGATTTGCTCTTTTTGTAGAAGAACACTTTTCAAAACAGACTCTTGCATAATAATAGGTCAAAATGGATGCTTGGGTGTTACATTTCTTTAAATGATTATTCTGCAAGAAGTTATACAACTTGGCAGTTATGAACAATATTTTGAAGTAAACTGGTTGGATGGAAAAGCAATATCTGCCTTGATTTATTATGAGCATATGTTGAATTCTGCATTTGTTAGGTTAGTTTAGTATCTAATGTACTGAGTAACCTTTCAATAAAATCATTTGTTATTATTATTATTAACAATTAAAAATATTTACTCACTATGTCTGTCCATAATAAAGGCAAGACCATATTATCAAATTTATCACAGTTGGCTATTGCTTTTATGTCGCCTAGGGCCATGTTGATCTGATATCTCACGGACAGCTCAATAGGAAGCCCTGATTCCTATAATCAGTTGATGAAATTATTGAACTGAAAAAAAGTTTGAACAGAGTAACTTACAGGCTGTATGATGAAGTATGATTCATGTTTCTTTCTCTCAGGATCAGTGCCATTCACTTTGGCAGTCAATACTTTGTCACCATCGAGAAAGTGGGGATAACTTAAAGCAATTGGAAAGCCATAGTAGCACTCGCGGACGTCAAGTAAACCTTTTGGCAAACATTTCCCTTCTCTCTTGCAGAAACACTTGTTCCTTTCGTGAACCCAACCATTGTCGTCTGCTTCTGAATCAAAGTGGTAGACATACGCTTTGAGACCGTTTGAAATTGTTTCATTCACTTTTACCTTAAAATGAAAAGATGATGAGTATTTTCTAATGCAAAATACACTGAATTCGAAATAGAACAGGTAAAAAAGCTGCAATTGAATAGAACTGGATGAAAATCCATACCTATTAAAACTAATTAATACAGTTTATAGTGAAAATCATACAATAAACTGTATTAATTAGTTTAAAAAAAAGCTGCATTTTGTCTTGTTTTTATGTTTTTGAGAACGAAACAAATAAATAAACTTCAACTTTATGTTATAGATAAGGGTTCAAATCTGACTCACCAATGATTTGGCTCTGCACATGCTTTTTCTGAAGAAAAGAAGGGTGTCATTAGGTTCAATATAACCTGGAAATTTGGTACCATCTGATGCTCCCATTATGTCTCCACATGGACTATCCCACTGGGGTATTTTAGTAGAGCCTCTATATTTCTCTATCAAACCTATATTTTTCAGGCCTAATTTCTGACCGTTGTAGACTGTTTCATAATCTCCCTCAAAATCATACATCTGGAAAAATATGAAAGTGTACCAAAGATGTTCAGGTGATTTTTTCTGGAACTAAATTCAATTCTTTCAACTCTGCTGACCGTTCAACAATGTTATTCAATAAAAGACCGATAATTTTTTCCTGTTGTGTATGAACAGAACTGTAGAAGTATTTTCAGTACGAACATTTCCCAAATGTTTCATGATTATTTTATATTTTGTAAGGACACTTCATGCCCGAGCGTTTAAATAATCCAAGTTTCCATATTGGTCATATATAAACTTGAATATCCCATTTATTTCAAATCTACAGAAATGAACTATAAATGTTCAAGCCCGTCTCGGATATACCTACCTACACAGTAGGTTGAATGGACTGACGCCTATCAGAAAACAACGACTCCATTGGCTAATACTATGTTCAAGCATAGCCCACTGACTAATAAGAAAGTTTTTCCTCCTTATACAGAGGAATCGGGCAATTTTCGGATTTGCAGTTGGTTAGTACCTCGTTCATTAGATGGAGTGACATTTTTGATGTTCGCTCCAACTTAAGACGAGGAATGAAATACTCTGAAAGAATTTCGATTTTCAATTATGGAATATTATTGACGTTAGGTTGATGGTAGTCACTATCTTGTACTGACGAGTGGATAAGGAGCCCGAAACCGGCCTGCAAGTGTGCCCGTTTAAAAATTGAAGGTCGACTCTTTCAGTTGTATTGCCAATTGCATATGCAGGAAATTTTCTGTGAAGATTCCTGCACTGACGCCTGTCGGATATAATGCAACGCTGTTCGTGGTATTAGCCAGTGGTGTAGTTGTTTTCTGATAGGCGTTAGTCCAATCAACATACTGTGTAGGTAAATCCGAGACGGGCCTGAACATTTAAAGTCAATTTTTTTTTGATTTGTTTACTGCCCGTCTTCAAGCTTAGCACACTGACTGATAAAAAAATCTTATTTAATTGTTATTGTCAATTCCATCATAAATATGGGTAGGTGAATATCCGTAATTTCTTTGATCTATTGATTCATTATACATTTGTATTTTTGTGATATTTTTTTTTTTTGTATATATAACTAGGGGGTGGAATTTATTTCTGAATTTGTCTATGAGAATACTGTAAGAAAGTACTTGGTTGACTTCTACTTTTTTACTTTTTGCAAACAAGTCATTGGATCACCTACAATCTTTGTAATATTTTATTTTTAAAAATACTTTTTATTTACTTTCAATTTCTTCAACTTGGTTTTGCTACGCGCCCCTCCAAGTATTCTATGAGTAAGTTGACTGAACTAGGTTAAAGAACAGTACATCCAGATGATTTACACTGCATTGGTAAGAATCTCGAAGTAACCTCTATAGAAGGATTTACTGTTTAGTTTTTCAGAAAGTCGGTTCCAATGGGGAAAATTTCAAAAGTTTCAGTTTCAAGTCTCGCCTGTTAGAATAGGAAACGTATTGAGTGTTTCAAATTCAGTGCATGAGGTCGCAATTATAAGTTTGCCTCAACAAATATAGATTTCTTGAATATTTGGAGCTATTTAGGAAGTTGTCAAACTTTAGGCTTTAAGGAGATTTGATACTGATACGAGCAGAAATTTTGTTTTTGTTGTCGATCTATTCCTTCTCTGCTGTGATCTATTCCTTATTTTCAGTATTAGCGGCTTGTACTTCATCACCCAAGCGCAGTTGTTTCTTCTTCATAAACACCTGTGCTTTGTTTTAGGAGCATCCTGTTGGTGAATCCGTTTGATGTTAAACTTGAGTCATTTTGTTTTCTCATACGATTCGTCAATTTGGACTAGGTTTATGAGTGCTTATCACCTCTCAAACCTCATTCATTTTTTCAGAAGCATTTTCCGCAGCCTCAAATCTGACGTTGCCACTAATGCAGCGTTATCTTTAGATGTGGTTCCAGCCTCATGATCTGGTGCTTCTCTGTCTTTCTGAACATCCCTCGAAGGCCTTTACTTTGATTTGATCCTCCAATTTGTTTTTCCATATCTGCCCTATACTTCTGCAAATTCTTCTGCGGTTATTGATATTGTCACTTGTTGCATGTATTTTCATCCATATATCAATTATAGAGCTTCCACAATGTTTCGGTATCTATTTTGACTGGTTTCTGGAATGCCATGCAATATTTATCTAGTTCTTGGACTTGCAGTGCTAGATTGAATTCATTGGCCTTCTCCTCTTGATCCACGATGACTTTTCATTTGAATTCGGTTATTTAAAAGTTGTACTTTGTTTGACTTGCCGCTGTCGGTAGGAATGTGCTCGTTGAAACTAGTCTAGTTTGTTTAAGGAGATCCAATTTGTTGACCAAGTGAGTAAACCCTCTCGGAATACGATAGGGAGGCGCATTCCTTTGAAACCTATAAGGGATTCGCAGTAATGTGTTGACTTATGGTTCTTTTTGCAATATTTGTAACCTTCAAATGGAGTTAATACTTTTCAAAAGACTAACAAAAACCAGTTTAACAGTCACAAACTATTTTTTGTTTGAGGGATATGAGTTGTTTTTATTGCTTTTTGGTCTGTAACTTTCTAAAGTCTGAAATATAAATAAACGTAGATCAACAAAGAATCTACTCTCAAGTGGTATAAAGGGCAAACTCTACCTCAAAAAATAATGTTTTTCAAGAGGTACGAGTTAAATTATGTCGATCTATGAAGAATTGCTCTTCGAAAGGTAGAAAATTCAGAATGATGCAAAATGCAATGAATGAATGAATGAACACCAAATAAGGAATTATATATAGCAAGAAAGTAATTCATTATAAGTTTTTTTCTTCCAACGTAACAATTTGGTAGCAACTTACTGTCTTGTTGAATTTCTTTATTTTGTAAGTGTTCAACCCTGACATCTTTATGGGTAATATTTTTTAAAGTTGCCGGTTTCACCGAAAATCAATGGAGTGAACTTACTCTGTCAATCAATCCCAGTTTCTCAAAATAAATCCAAGATGGCATGAAGCTATTGCCCAAGGTCATCAGTGTGCTGCTGTAACCAAACATAAACTCCTTTGCTGTCATTTGGACAAGAGGCTCTGATTCTGTTTGCCGAACAACAATGTTGAGACCCATTTTTGTAAAGTAGGAAGATTCAGAAACAACATCAGCAATGCTCTGAAACAATAAATATTAACTTCAAAAACAATCTTGTCGAAATAGAGCAGAATCATGCAAAATTTTGATATCTCTCGAAAATGAAGTAGAGCCGAGTTTAATTCTGATACCGTTGGTTGTAAGTGGTGTACGTGAAAATCTTGGAAAAGTGACAATAATAAGTCAAGTGGAAAGGGTACAGCTTTCATAAATTCAGGAATTGATTACAATTGGTGTCTTTCCTTACCGAATGCCTTGCAGAAAATGGAACAGGAAAATGGTAAAAAATTTCATTCACGTAATAGTGACTATATACAAAGGTGATACATTTCCGTAGGGCTATTGTGAAATAATTTTTTTATATGAAAAAGGGTGACTTAATTTGTCATGCCAAATAAATTCGTGGGTAAACCATCTGATGTACGTCATGATTTTATATAATAAACTAATTTCATGAAAGCCGTACAGGAATTTTTTTCCGAAAATATTCCATTTTTTTGTACTGTGTTCGGCCAGAAAATATCCCAGTCGTAATATGCACCATAACGATGATTTGCCTACTAATGACAACCTTGGCAATGAAAACGGACGCTTTGGGTGGACGCATGAGCTGAGAGATAGCCTTATGCATTGCTACGAGATTAGTGAGCCCGCGCGAAGAGGGTACATGGCGAGATTGCATGCTCTATGGTGTGAAACACATCCGGAGCATACCGCCTTTTCCGCCCAAAACCTTAGGGATTATGTATCTTATCTTCGGCGGCAGGGCTATTTAGCTCCTTCCCAGCCTGCTAACGAAGTAGTAGAAGTGACAGTTCAACCAACCGTTGGCAGGGCTAGAGAGGAGACTCGCATCATACCACCAATGGAGACGACAATCAGAACACGCAGGGCGCGCTATTGGAAGCATATTGTATAATTTACACCCACTGTACTCTACACTTTTTTCATACAAAAAAGTTCTATGAGCGTTTGAAACGATTAGATCTTTCGAACGAGTATTGTGATTATGATTTGGAAGAGAGAACTGAAAATTGGATTTATTTTTGAAAACGTATGCACTAGCCTCTAGTATTTAGGTGCTAGCAACTGTAAGAATTTTCAGCCGTTTAAAAGAATCTCTACATGAATCACGGTACCCTAGCTTAGCTATTATTCTAAGTGCATATTTCTGGAGGAGAAATATCCTTTTAACAGAAGCACTCATACCCCAGTTGAAAATGCCATATCGAAGGTGTGAATGGAAGTTAGCATGGTACAATGTTAAGAGTATACTAGAGCTGCAGTGATTTGACATGATCTAATAGAATAGCAGCTTTTCTTCAGTTCATTACATAAGGTATCAATATGTCGATTCCATGTTAATTTTTTATCTAGTACAATTCCTAGCATATTTACAGTTTCTACAGGACTACAGGACACTATTTTCATATAGTATCACATTCGAATCCCTTTGACCACGTCTGCTGAACAATATAGTGTTAGTTTTAAATTTGTTGAGTTTCAAATCGTTCTTTTCAGCCCACAATATGATTTTATCATATATATCCTCAGCAATTTTATGGAGTGACTCCATGTTGTCTTCAACAATCAAAATATTTGTATTGTCAGCATAACTTGTAATGAATACCGAGTTTGTTTTACTGATCGACGTAATTAGATCAGTTGCAAATATAAAAAAGGGGCCTAAATTTGAACCCTGGGTTTACCAAATCATGTGGTACCCCTCTTACACCTGATCTATAAAGCTTAGATAGTAACAGGTCATGGTCCACACAATCAAAAGCACGTGAGAAATCTATAAAAAGGCCCATGACACATTTTTTCTTGTCGAGAACATTAATAGCAACGCATCAACAAGAAAAACGGACTACCTGAGTCAACATAAATACAATCCACGAACTGGAAATCACCAGTCATGGATGAATCATAAAGATGAATAAACCTCTGAAGAAGCCAGCCACTCATGCTGGCGAAACGTTAGGATACAGTTCCAAACTTCGACGGCCTTCAAACCCGAATGAAGATCATAACACTGAAAATCTCGGCCGCGAAAGCTTCAACCAATTTTTTTGACCCTCTAGAAATTCAGCATGGACTTGCGGTTTGAAAGCTTTTATGGTAATCATTCCTCCTCAAACAAGTTTTTTTTACCCGTATCAACGGTTTTTCTCACGAAACTGTAATTTACAATTAACTAGCGATGATTGCAAATATTTTGTAAGGAATGAAAATTCTAGATGGAAATATAAAAAGAATCAACAGGAATTACAAAGCTATGAATACAAGAAAAGAAGCGAAATACTGTAAAAAAGTTCCCCAAGGAATTGTCCTCATCTAGCCGATAACCAACTTTATTTTTATTTATTTATTTTATTTATAATTTTTTTGCAGTATTGCAAAGGTATACTGGATTTTGAAATATATCTCCAACTTCAAATTTTTATCACTTTATTATTTTTCGATAGTGAATAGCAAGCATAGCAAATAATATATTCTTGATGTAACGCACTTATTTAGTAATTCTTGTAGTATCTTCGGCACTTATCAGTGTTTTCTTGCAACTTGCATTATTGTACAAAATACGCATCGCATCAGAATAATCGTAGCCTAGTTGCAAAGTGGATTGTTAGTATTCAAAACCTCCAACTGCATTGCTAACGCTAACGATTATTTTAATAGATTATGTGCAACTGTCCTTTTGAGTATTCCGTTTTATTGAATATTTCTGGTTAAATACCTATTAATAGCCACATTGATTTCACAAAAAAGTTATGTAAAATCGAATCTAAAGAAACTGCACCACTTTGTTTCTCAAAATTTCGACCACAAAAAGTTCAAATAGGGATCGGGGGCCAACTGATACCCCAAGTATCCCTGACTTTGCAATGTGGTGTTGCGGTTTCCAACAAAATTGGTGTTCCTTACCATTAGTGTTCCTTCTCTGCAAAAATGTGTGTCAAATATACTGACTGGAGTCAAGAATAAAGTGATATGGAACATTCAATTGCAGAATCACCTGTGAATAATAACGTATATGATGTAGTTTTTGTAGTCGAGGACATTGGTGTGGTGATGGCTTTAGCACCTGATGGTAATGATATGTTTTTTTAGCTAGTCAAAAATAATGCCTTTCAACGAGTTCATTATGCATTGATTGTAAGCCCGTCTGCACCGAGTCTAAATAACTTCAATTTCAGAAAATGTCATAGTTTCCGAAAGTTAGGTTAATGTTATCCTTGGTAGTCACCTGGTGCATATAGATGTACGAGTATTTGCCATAGAAAATAAGAAAAACTAAAACCTGTACTTATGGTCGGTCGCATTCAAAAATATAAAAATATAATGAATAAATGAAAGCAGCATCGAAACAAGTACGATGTTAATGGGTATATACATTATATACCCCTAAAAAGATCAATTCAACAAGGTGTCTTCATTACCCTCAATTCGAATTTGTTGGAAAATCCACGCAATTCTTCATATAAGTTGTCGGACTCCAAAATATCTTCAGTTTCTTCAGTGCTTTTTATTGTTTTGCGCGATCAACATTCGTGTAATCCGGCTCTAATATTATAGCTAGGTACTTCTTTACTAGCTTTAATTTTTGCACCACGGTTTTTGTACACTTCTGAAAATGTGTCCAAGATAAATTGTTTTGTTTAATTATTATTGACAGGGAAAATTCCCATAAGCAACAAAAACAATAGTGAAAACGCGTTCAACACTTCGTCAGATACGTAAGAGCCTTATCTGAAGATGCATGGAATACTATCTCAATGACGTAAGAAGCGCTGCCTGCTCTATCGGACATCAACTCGAATGTATAACAAAAATTTCACAAATTATCAGGTTGAATATTACTGGAGATTTTTCCCAACACCAAACCGTTATTTTAACACCCCGACACGTGTTTCGATCACCAAGTGATCATCTTCAGGAGGAATATTAAAAGCAGTTCAATCTTCTCACGACTTTCTCACCGGTAGAACCTCCACCAATTACGACCAGGCAAAACGACCTTCGTCGACTTCATCGAATCCCGAGCACAAAATATTTATGCGACTCTTGTTACGTTGATAGAGGTGCACTCACTGATTTAAATGGCGCTTATTTCAATTGAATTGAATAAGTATTCCTGAGATATTACAGTCATAAGTAAACTCATAAAAACGGATAAAATTTTTGAAACAACTCAATACTTCGGTTCAATTCTATTTTGAATACGATTTATTTCCGTGAACAATTTCTTCCTCTTACACTTCACACATTGATAGTGCCTTCTCTACGGCGAGTGATGTTACACCATTGTCTTTTTTGATGAAAAAGAACTGAAAATTATTCGTTTTCATACAAATTTTTCTTATCAAAACTCAAGAGTATAGGGGGACTATTTACGACCTCACTGTATACTGCAGCATTGGCCACGAAACAAATGATACATTTATTCATAAAATAAAATATTCTTATTTGAATTTTGAGAAACTCAGGATATACTTTCATTTTGATATAGGAATGAATACACTACTAGAAAGCTCAACATTGTGATTGTCATCAACATAAAGGAATTTATCTAAAGCAAATGAACTTTAAACGTTCAGGCCAGTCTCCATATACCTACACAGTAGGTTTAATGGACTGACGCCTATCAGAAAACAACTACTCCCCTGGCTAATACCACGAAGGCCGTTGGATTATATCCGACAAACTACGGATATGCACTAGATAGAGTGACATTTTGTGATGTGATGGTCACTATCTTGCACTGACGAGTGGCTAATGAGCACGAAACCGGTCTGCAGGTGTGCCCGTTCCAAAATTGAGGGTTGACTCTTTCAGTTGTATTGCCAATTGCATATGCAGGAAATTTTCTGTGAAGATTCCTGCACTGAAGCCTGTCGGATATAATCCAACGCCCTTCGTGGTATTAGCCAGGGGAGTAGTTATTTTCTGATAGGCGTCAGTCCATTAAACCTACTGTGTAGGTATATGGAGACTGGCTTGAACGTTCATTTGCTTTA